AATAAAGGTTTGTCGATGTGTTTTGCACACAAAGTTGCATAGAATTGTATAAGATATTCGCATCAAAAGGAGAAGTGTCTTTTTTAGGAGATAATCTATCAATGCTTTAGAGAACAAGATTCTTATACCTAACAAGACAATAACAACAAAAAAAAAGGCAATGGGTTCTTCGAAATACAATAATGGCGAACAACACATAAACAATAGAGCTTTATTTAAGTGCAAATAAAAGGAAAAGAAGAAACATAATCGGAGAACACCAATAACAAAAAGTTCTATATTGATATAAAATATGAGAAAAAAAAAAATTGTCTTGCGACAACTCCCACAATGACCAACCTTTTTCTATCTCATAACAATGATATATAATTTTATTGCATGGTAAATTTCAAACATTTGAACAAACAAAAAGTAAATTTTTTTTATTTTTCTAAAAAACCAAGGGGTGGTTATCACTGACTAGTTATTCTAAGATAAGCCACTCATTAAAATTTTCTAATAGACCTAAAATATAACACTATTTCGACTGACCAAATGAAAGTGGTAGGCTAATAGTGTTGACTTGAAATCTAATCTATCTCCACAAAAAAACTCTTTTTTTTTTCTCAAGTCGGAATCACAAGCCTACCACTACTTGGTTTAGATACTCTAATTCATGATCCTCGTTCATTCTTAGATACTCTTTTGAATAAGTTCTTTTATCCATGGGTTTGAAGGCATTTAATTTGTTTTTGAATTTTGAAACATGTGCTAGTATGTTTTTTACCAAGACCTTAACTTGTCCGAAGAAAAACAAATAAAAGATCGTAAACCACATGTAGAAGCTGGAATTTGGAAACTTGTCCGATATGGTTTTATGAGCAGTGAACTACAATCACATCATCATCATACAGCAGTGTTGATAATAAATGGGATCAATAGCACTGAAAATAAAGTCTCCTTAATAAAATATTGTTGACAATAAAGTATCTGTGATTCAATAATGTTGACAATACATTATCTGTTTTTATGTGACAGTAAATGATAAAATTAAATTTTGGATTTTTATATCGTGACGAGCTTACCACGAGTTTCTCATCTATTGGCTTTACACTTTACCACGTTATTTAAAAACTTTTTGTCAACTGTTCTGTTTTTAGTCAACGGCTCTGTTTGTCTTTAAATACTAACTTCAATTCACACAACATTGTTTCAATGTACGGACGCAAATACAGAGTGTTTTCCTTCACCAGAAGCACTCAAGAATAAGATTTTGATCTCAACAAAACCACCAAAAGAGTATCTTCAGACCCAAACTTCTCAAGGTTCAACTACTGGAGAAGGATGGAATCTGGATTTTCCTCTAGATCACTTTGATCGATCCTCGCCTCCCGATTTCTACGCAAAGGCGAATGCTAACTCATACAAAGCTAGAAAATAGCCCTAATTAGGTTTACTTGCCGATCAAGTCAACCAACATGATCTACACGACTTGCTTGTAATTGTTTTTCTTTTTCAGATCGGAATCGCAGGGATACCTTACAGAACAGAGACCGATACGGACGAATGGTTTCCGGTTTGGAACAAAGAATTCGAGTTCCCGTTGCGAGTTCCTGAGCTAGCACTTCTGCATATTGCAGTGAAAGACTACGACAGTAACACTCAGAACGACTTCGCCGGCCAGACATGTCTTCCTCTGTCGGAGCTCAAGCCGGGTATTCGTGCCGTCCGGCTCCATGATCGGGCCGGAGAGGTCTTTAAGCACGTGAGATTGCTCGTGCGGTTTGTCTTGGAGCCTCTCTAGTTGTTTGATGTCTATTTATCACTCGTGTCAATAAATTTAAGTGTCGGTACTCTACACATATGTATTACGGCGCGTGATAATAAGAGAAGACAAAGAAAAAAAATGATTAAAGTCATGAAAATAATAAGATTTGTGATTTTACCAGCAACAATTTGTTCAAAGTTTAATTAGTTGATTAAAGAAAATTTTGTTTAAGAAGTTCACGTGGTCCACTAACCACTAATACCAATTGCTTTTGCTGTCATTATGGCAATTCGCACTCAAGCAAAAATGCAAAATCACGTTCATTGTGGCAATTATCACTAAAGCAATTGCTTCACTATGCCAAAAAACAATTTTAGAATATGGTTTGCTAAAATATCACTATCACAATAGAAATATAGTAGATGGATCGTCATTTTAGTGATTAAACAAACAGTGTTTTACCGTTCAATAAATCAACAATATTAATAAATATATAGAAGTTATGTCTAAGCTTATGTGTTCAGGTATCCATTTGGGTTCAATTGGAGTCTTTCCGCTTTGGAGCTATAAGTTCGATTCAAGTATTTATAATTTTTGAATCTGGTTCGCCTCGAATCCTTCTGAATTCGAGTTGGGTTGAAATATGATCTTGAAACTTGCTCATACACAAAAAAAAATTCAAATTTAAGTATGTTCAATTTTTTTAGTTATCCAAATTAGTTATTTTTACTCAAATTAACCCAATTAACCG